TGCAAATTTCTGCGACAAATATTCCACTTGAAAAAATTGGGTTAAACTGTTTAGACTGTTTACGAGGTAATTATCATCAGAATATAATACAATTAACTCTCCTTCTCGGAAAGAGCTGTTGCAACTATACTTTCCCTCTATCAGAAACTACTTTAAAATTTACTTATCCCGAAAAGACAGCTTGAATAGGTGATACTATTGGCATTGTTGGAGATAACAGCAAAGTAATGAATACCATTGCATCAGCTTAGAGGCTACGCTGGCACACTCGAATGGACTGATCATTTTTTCTGCAAGTTTATCTCAATTAACTTCAGAGACAATGTTTTCCAATAGAAGTAACCCACCCTTATGCCAAGTTTAGATGTTCAACACCTCACCGATTTCGAGAAAATACGATATTACTGTGCGAACATGCAAACTTTTGCGGCACATTATTCCACTCGAGGAAATTGACCGAAACTGTTTACAGCTCTCATACGCGTTATTTTTCGGATTAATACACATTTCACTCACCTTTTCGGAAAGAGATGTTGGAACTGCACTATCCTACCGTGACAAAAACCATTTTGGAGCGTCAATATCCAGGAAAACCAACTTTAAAAGTAGCATTTGGAAATGACAACGGCGCCATTTTCGAAAACTCCTCGAAGTTGCGCGCTTCTCTCTTCGTGACGTCACGATGGCCAAGATCGTCCGGACAAACAAACTACCAAGTTCACCACCCCCCCGGTTGTGATCAATTGACAGTTGTCAAAACAGGGTATCCACTGACCAGTATCACCTGACCGTATCGCGGGCTCAGGTGTAGACCCATCGAGGTCGAGTATCTTTTTAAAGTTATCCGCTGACAAGTTACTAGTTTTCAAATGATCGCAGGCTCAAGTTTAATTTTTTTTAATTCATATGAAATATATTGTGTTTCATATGTGTCGCACAATTAAAATTTTGATTTCAAACTGACCTCGGAAGCTAAAATTCAGCCAGTTTTTACAGGCAGGGAAGACATGCCAGTTGCTTTTGACTTTTCTCAATAAGGTCACGCGTTGGTCACGCTCTACGTCCAATCTTTATGCTCTGATTGGTCAAAATTTGACAGGCGAGTTTACGCATGCAGCATCTTGAAACTTGTTTACTTTGACAGCTGAAGCTGACAGAGTTTTGTGTCAACTTGTGATGTTTTTAACTGTCTTTCTCCGCTGAATGTACAAAATGAAATTCTGCTGCTATCAAGAGTCTTCTGTTATTCATAGCTACTTTGTTTATTGGGTTTTTGGTTGAGAAATACGTCGCTTGTCAATGTCGGAAATCCGATTTCGGATGGCATCGTTTTCGTTTTTCACCTTGCTTGATGCATAAGAGGGTTGAAAAGTCTGAAGTGATTCTGGACTTACTTGATAGTTTTCAGAGCATCTCGAATGGTAAGCCTGAGTAATTATTGTATTTGATGTTTGTTTTTTATGTCTAATTTAATGAAGTCGGGCGTAGTTTATGCGCCTATTTAGTTTATGCACGTTTGTAAGATTTGAGACAATGATCGATGTGACCGAGTGTCAGGTTTGATTATAAGCTTACAGAACTTTAAAAAGCCTTTAGACATTTTCTCACTGCAAATAGAAAGAAAACGTTCCAAAGAATATTTAGTTATAATTCTGGCTCTAACAGAAAGCTTTGAGCGATTTTCTTGCCTCGAGTTCATCTTTGAAAAAAGCAAACGCCGGGAAGCCGGCTTAAAACATAAACAAGGATTTTCAGAGACACTTTTTACTTGTCTTCGTGAATGAAAATTGTTGTCTCTGTATATGTTTCACCGAATTATTATCCTTTTATTGATTGTTAGTAGTCTCTTTTGCAATTTTAATCGCTGTGCCGTTTGTTTTCCGTCGCTCACGAACATCGCTTGCAGGAGTAGTTGCCGCGTGTATCAAACGCCTTTGAAGATTACACATAGTTATAAAACCGTTAAATATATAAAGAAATAAACATAATAAATTTTTTATCATGTTAAAGCGTATAACTCTATTAATCTTGATTTAAACAGTCGACTTTGGCACTTGTCAAAAGTGAGAATCGGCAAGCCGTATAGGTGATTTAAGAAATTTTTTTAACGGTTTCGGTAAAAGCCCACGCGTGCTTCGATCGACCTGAATGTTGAGTACAGTGTATTGCAAAATTGCGATCTGTCCGAGGTCTGTATATAAAATGATAAAAACAGTGCTCATGGTACTGTTTCACCTCATGTGATGTATAAAAAATATAAAAGGTTGGTTTACACGTCCCCAGACTTGTTAGCAAGATTTTGTAAAATAAATTGTAAAGTTGTCGAACCCAAAAATTTGGGCCTGATTTGTTTTCCGAGAATTTGTTTTCCACGCCTAATCTACTGTGATCAATAGCCATTTAATATGGCTCTTGAATGTCATCGAAGATGATTGCTATTTTTTGGGTGTACATATAAGGCTAAATATATAATCAACTCGATGTAAGATTACGTTCACTCTTAGCTTGGACTGTTTGCAAATTATTTTTCTCTAAAATCACTTAGCCTTTCCCTCAAAAGTCACATGAATGTGGTCTAAAGTTAACTGATTTGTAAAATACAATTGCAAGTTTATTGTTTGATTTAAATTATAAATTCGAGTTAATAGGAGCTTCGCTTTTAGCCCTGGCTAAATCTATATATTATTGGTGTGATATGGCAAAACCGTGGTGCTAGATATAGAACTCTTGCAGCTGTGTTTTGAACACGCTGCAGTTTAGTGAGGGCGCAGTGGGGTAGTCCGTATAAAAGTGAGTTACAATAGTCCAATCTGCTTGTGATGAAAGCGTACATTAATTTCTCGGCAGATTCTATGCTTAGATATTTTCTGACGCGTCTAATATTGTGTAGATGAACAAAAGCACTCCTACAAGTTTTGGTTATGTTAAAATTCAGGTTGAAATGGCAGTCAAACCAGGCCCCTAAGTTTCTAAGGGGTTCCGTGCTAGGAGAAATGATAGATTCGCCAATAGTTAGAGTGGCGCTTTTAGTTTTCTGTAGCTGCGCCTTCGTCCCAATGAGCATAAACTCAGTCTTGGAATCATTGATCATGAGTTTGTCATTGATCATCCAGCTACGAATGTCACAGAGGCACGCTTCCATTGCTGCAATGGCGGCGTCTTGATCGGAATCATCGTTTGGATTGAGTGCCTAATAGATACCGGTATCATCGGCATAACTGTGCGCCGTTGGCAAGTGCTGGCTAATGACATCAAAAAGCTCACTAGTGTAAAGGGAGAACAACATTGGGCCGAGACAAGAGCCCTGTGGCACGCCAAACTTCAGATCAAAACTGTCTGACTTTGCACTGCCGATTACAATACGCTGGGAAGCAAAATAGTTTAAAATCTTGGTAGTGCCTGGGAAGCGACTGGACCGCCTGTAGGCTAAAATCAAGTTCCCTAAAATAAGAGTCCTTCTTCACTTTGCGATAAAATACAGTAAACTGGTCTGTAAAATGAGCCGAGACAGCGTTCCAAAGAATAGCACCTCTATAGCTAATAGAGTTTTCAACAAACTGCGAGTTAAAACGCGAGACAATTTTGTTATTACTCCTTCTGAAGTTGTATGAGTGCAAGGTATATTTGTCAAGTATGAAAGAGCCGCTATGGAGTGGTTTAATTAATCGAAGTTCATAATAGAGCGTTAAGTATTCCAGTTCGAATGTCGCTATACTTTCTCAGTAGGCATATCTCGGGGCAAGTGGTATAATATTCTGGCTGCCCTAAGGTGAGGTACTTCCAGAGAATGTTGAAGGTCAGCAATAGGGCAGCCGCCCCAAGTGACCAGTCCATATAGAACTGATGGTAATATAATATTATCTTGAAGTATAAGTCCAATAGGGCGTTTCTTCTCAAGAACGAACTCCATTTCAGGGGGGTTAAGTTTGTGAACAAAATTCATTTTTACATCTATAAGGTGATGTGACCAGGAAAGCCTGTCATCGATAGTAACGTCCAAAAGACTTCCAAAATTTACTCGAAGCATATATCTCGATCTCATCCACAGGCGTTTTACGTGACGTCATTACACAGGAGTGAATACCCCGGATAACAGGAAAACCAATCGACTGCACATACTTCTGATCTTACGTCGGACAAATAGATGACTGTTACAAAATAAATAATTTACGCAATATGCATTTTATTGACTACTTTTTGCTTTTCTGTAGCTGGCTACGAGTATGGAGAACTGATGGACTTCGCTTTCACTCTCAGTACGAGTAAGTAAAAATTAAATTGTAGTTATATCTGATCATGAAAAATCACATTTGGACTCTCTTTGTTAAAGAAGTTCCTTAATTTTAAGGCGCCCTTTTCCAGCTGTGACTGTGGATATTTGCTGATTTGTCTTTAACGGTCTATCACCTGTTCGGATCTGAGAAGCGTTGTTTAGGCTTATCAGTAATAACAACATGAATTCATTACTGATTCTGCAAAGTTCGATTCACAACGTGAGCTCAATAATTTATCGGTATTTATTGACGTCTGCTGTGCCAAAACTTCGCAGGAGGCATGAAATTTTAATAAATTAAAGTTCTTAATCAGGTAGCATTTGCAATATTAAGATGTTGATATTAAAACAGCATCTTAACTGAACGCTGTGTGCGGTGCTGTGAAGAGGTCAGCTAACATGAACTCAACAATAGGGAACGGATCGATCGAGTATTCAAGCTGCTTTAATGCAACAGCGAGAAAAATAGGAGAGATCATTGCTTTGAGTCTGATCCTTGCTGGTTCGCTGACGGCAAATTCTTTCATTGTATTGATCGTTTATAAGACGCCAACATAAAGAAAACCGATAAATTATTTCGTCGCAAACATGGCCATGTCCGATCTGCTGTATTCAATATTCTGGCTACCTTGGCGCCTATCATTGATGCACACAAAGTCGTGGCCGTATCGGTGGTCAGTTTGGCCATACCTTGTGTAAGCTTGTCCCTTTCTTTGGTGACGTTCCCATGATAGTTTCGGTTCAGAATCTGGTTCTGATAGCGGTGGATCGTTTTGGAGCAGTCGTATTTCCACTCCGTTCGCCACTCATCAGATCTAAGCTGTGTCCGTTCTTCATTTCCGCCACGTGGATAGTCGCAGCGGCTTTCATTTGGCCACATTTGTTCACCTACCAACTCATTGAATACTCAGGGGAAATATTGTGCGAGATGAGATGGACGAAAGCATTCGGAGAGTCCTCGTCCGTTGCCGATTACATATTAGCAGCGACTATTCTGTTTACATACATCCCTGTGATGGTGTTAGTCTTTCTTTACTCTATCATCATCATCAAGCTCAAGACACAGGCACATCCCGGTGAACAGTCCGCGAACATACAGCAACAGAGGAACAAACGAAACAGAAACGTCCTTCACATGTCTATTGCCATCGTATTAGTGTTTGTGTCTCTACTAACAGTTTAATCATAGGGTATCCAACGCTGGCCAGGCCGAGGTCCATGCAGTTATCTTGTGGCTTTGGGCTGTATTATGATGTCATGCTATCAATCCGATTATCTGCTTCGTTTTAGTAGCAATTGCGGACAAGGTCTTAAAAGACTCATGAACTCAGTTCGACCGTCGTACAGGCGCAAGGTGCAAAAATCTGCTGGTAACTGAATACATCAAAAAAGAGTGATTATGGAACACTCGCAAATGAAAACTATTCTCTAATAATGTTAGTAAAGAGTAAGTTCGGAGTGTTCATTGTGAATGCACGTCTTTCCTGACTTCGAAAACTGACGGCATGTATAGCCCAAGCTTATTTTATAAGATAGCAGAAAATCGCCATCTAGGAGACAAACCGACTTCGAAAACAGCTTCAAATTTCAAGCAAAAAACGTGATGCAATTACACTTTCCGCTCCAAGATCAAATAGTGATTCCTCGAGATGACTCTTCTGCAGTTCATTTTAATCGGCGTTGCGTTTTAAATAAATTCAAAAAGATCGAACGGTCTTCGACCCTCAAAGTCGTTCTTCTCCTCCTCATTTCTTGTAATTTTTTAATCTCTAGTCATTAATCATGTTTTTTTTAATTACACATCAGCCAGAGACGAGTGTCTTAAGATTCAAATTTTACCTTATATATTAAAAATGAACGCTAAACAAAAAGTTTCTGGCATAAGGGGCTGGTGAAAGAAGGCTAAGCAATAGTTTGTGGTAATTTATTATTTTAGGTGTTTGTCGCTTGTGAAGAATTAAAGGAAAGAAAAGGTCATTGACAAGATAAACTAAGTGTCTGCACGATACGGCGTCCAGAAAATGAGGCGAGATACTGTATTATTATACACACTCTATCTGGTTTCCAGCTTTCAGATAGACAAAAAGAATAAAAGCCAAAAAAAAAACACCTCGCGAATAAACGCGCGACACGACGCAGAGACAGGTGAAGAAGGCTTGAAACATGCTATCCATTTTCGTTGCTGTGGCGGACTGTAGGTTATCGAGACTATAGTAAAGACATAAAAACACCAAATATAACTGGTCATAAACCATACTTTATCAGAAATATTATGAATTTAAAATTGTTTCAAAAAATCTATAAAGAGTTCGTTGGTCACTCAACATTTACCTTTTAATTTAAATTAAAAATTTAAAAGTGATGTCAATTTTCTTTTTTACCAATTATTCCGTAGGAAAACCTTTCTCACGATCTTGGGTCATTGACGATTGCGTGAATTCAAAAAGAGGATTCAAAGTTGAAAATTTCAATCAATTCTTATCTTCTGTTTTTTGCCGAAGTAAATTAATCAACCAGTCACAATCCAAGTGTTAAAAGAGGGCAGGAGGACGGGGGGTGGTTATTAAAAGTGCTGATAGACTAACAGGACTCGTACCCCACGGTTTAACTCACATCTTGTGTTTTGAAAAAGAAAAAACAGAGAAAAAAACAAAAGAAAAAACTGTGTGTTTTTTGGCACGTGCGCCTTTCATCTACCGTTCGCTCCAAAAAGTTATCAATAACTAAGGGCAAGGTGTTACCAACCTTTTGCACAAAAATGGTTTAATTATACCCCTTTTGAAATCGGCTTTATTTATATTTATTTTGTCGCTTGATAAATTTTGAATGAAAAATTGACTTGTTAATGAGCGTATTTCCTCTAATCACACGGCCGTGTTTAAAATTTGCTCTAAGCATGTATTGGTTTTCAAATGCCTTTCAATCCATTTATCGATACGACCACACCTAACAAAATCAGGTGTTCACTCCGGGGGGGGGAGGAGGGGGTGGTACTCCCTATACGGGGAGGCTCTGCCTGAGAAGGGTTATTTCCCGTACCTTTTTCAGGCTTCAGGTGTAAAAATGTTTTCAAGACTAAAAATATTGCTGATAGGTACCCACCAAAGCTTAATGCAGTTGACAGTTTTTCGGTGGTGACGGACAACAGTAGTTTAGAGGGGGTAGATACTTTTAATGTAACTATGGATGAAACTTCGTCCTGGAAAGAGCACGTTTTTAGCTCATTAGGCAAAGAGATCTCTTCTAGATTGGCCGCGGCTACTGCTTCGCGCTCCGGGAAAGTCATACCAAGGTCTAATGTAGTCAGTACTTGTGTTACATTTATATAATACTATGGTACTGCTTTTATTTGACTGCTGTGCGGTCGTCTGGGATAGCTGTGGCCAGGGTAGTAAATCCTACTTAGACTAGCCTGAAGTGCAGCCGTACCGCGTATTTTGGGCGGGCGACAGCTGCTTGTTTATGTTCGTTCCGTTGATTAGAAGCCGCCATCTTTGATTTTATAACGGAGGAAGATTTGGACAGAAAATTGCGCATCCACGAGCAAAAACATTCGCGCGCCCGAAGAAAACGCCTGCACTGCAGACTATACTCAGTAGACAAGCTTAATCGCCGTGTTGCATGTATAAGCGAGGACCGTACAGTTAAGGATGAGGAACTATCTCCTGTCAGTTTGGCTGGCACCATCTGCAAGCACTCCGTAACTTTCTAAATCTGTCCTTGTCTATAAGTGTATCAACGTAATAGTAGAATAACTTCCGACAGGTCAACGGTTTTTTCCTTCGGTAAGGATGGTTTTTCATTTATTTGCAAATTAGGAGGACCTTCAATATAAAATTTAATGTTTATTAGTGTTCTTTATACAAAATGTTCATCCTAATCACTGCCTAATCAGCATACAATCGTTTCAGTCATTCAACCCCGTATTTTCCCTGTGGCTGAATTCAAATCCCTCTCCTGACTTTTCGTGCAGTTTGCAGAGTTTTATAGGGTATAATTATTTCAAGTGATTAAATCCGCGAAGTCAGTTAGACATATAACTACTGAATACTAACGAGTTTTAGAATTGTCATTTTAATTTATGGTCATTAACCCTTTAAAGTCCCAATATCCACATACAAATTCTCCAAAGTGATCTCTATACATTTTCTTAAAGAATTATTTGAGAGAATGTCATAAAAGATCAAAGCATTTTCTCTTTGGTGATCATTTTATCAATTCTCATAACCTAATCTCTTGACAATGTATGGATATCTTTAGGAGAAAATTGATGTTGGTCACCATTGGGACTTAAAGGGTTAATGGAGAAGTTAAACATCACAATTACGGCAAACTGCAACCCCGAATTTGTGCCACGTGACCAAGTTTCCTCTTTACTTGTCGTTCGGGGTTTACTGTTCACTATTTCCACACCTTGATAAGTAGTATCACGCAATTTTTTATCCATAAGAGTTGTTTAGAGCTGTTTTTATCTGCTCATTTTCTATTCATATTTTGAGAAATTCTCAACTTGAATCTGCCGTTTGCCGTTTGCCGTATACATGAGGCTTAAGCTCTCCATTAATCGGATCGGACTGTGACCACAAAGGAAATAAATTTAACGATAGTGCCCATTCGAAAATGTCTTTTATATTCATTTTGTTGGCTCGATAAATTTTAACTACCTGTGTTTAAATATGAGTCAATTTGTTGAACAAATTGACTCGTTAATGATCGTAATTTCCTCACACCACAACTGTTTAAAGTGTTCTAAGCACGTATTGCTTTTCGAATGTCTTTCAATGTATTCAATCACCACACCTGACTAAAATGAAGTATTTACTCAAGCTGTGTATTTCTTCTTTCCTTTGTGGTTCCTTAGCCGGTTTTATTGCAACCGGTTTGCTCTCTTTATAATCCTTTCTATATAACTCATAAATAAAATAGCCATTAATCGGGTGTGTTTGTCAGTTTAACTGAACTCAGGATGTGTTTATTGAGCAACAGGTCAGTGTCTTAATTGAACTACGCAAGAAAAAAAAAAACAGCTCCCTTCCAACTTACGCAACAGGACGGGAGAGGGAAGAAAACCCCAAACCCTGTGTGACAAGCGTGACAATAATTTTGCTTGAAAAAACATTCCGCCAAACTTCAGCTTCCTTTTAGGGACGGACCATTAGAAAACTTATGGGGGGGCGGGCGAGGTACAAAAAAAAAATATTCGCGCAAGGGAAAATGAAATGAAAAAAAATTCGTGCACGCCAATTAACCCTAAAAAATATTCATGCTATGGGCTTAAAAAAATTCATACAAGGAATTTGATAACAAAAAAAAAATTCCTGCGGCTCGAAAATTCCCCCCCCCCATAACTTTTCTAATGGTCCGTCCCTTAACAGATATTTTTCTAAAAGACAAGAAAACATTAATGTCAATCACGACAAAACACACGCTTAATAGCTCTGTCACGTTTGTCACACACAAGCGTTTTGCCGCCCTCTTCTTTCTACAGCACAAAGAATCACCAGACCGGAACAGGGAAGTTGTTTAGGCTTATCAGTAACAACACGAACTCAGAACTGATTCTACAAAGTTCGATTAACAAGGAAGAGTCAGATATAATCAGCTCAGCATAAAGGATAAGCTCTAAAATCAACTGGTATTTATTGACGTCTGCGGTGCCAAGACTTCGCAGCGGGGACATGTTACAGACGTTTGTAAAGTGGGAGGGGGCGAGTTCAACTAGTTCAAGCCACCAACTGCACGCAAACGAGTGTAAAATTTCGCGATTTTCTGGAGCAAATCTTCACTCGCTCTGAACCTATCACCTTTAAACTTTGGTGAGTTTCCTAATTTTGAGCCGCTATTTCCAGCAAAACTTGAAAAAACGGAAAAGGGTCTGTCACCTGATCGGAACAGGGAAGTTCTTTAGGCTTATCAGTATCAACATGAATTTAATACTGATTCTACAAAGTTCAATTAACGTCGCGTCATACATCATCAGCTCAGATGCATCATGAAAGATAAGCTCTATAATTTACTGGTTTTTATTGATGTCTGCGGTGCGAAGACTTCGCAGGGGGCATGAAATTTTAAAGTTCTTAATCAGGTAGCATTTGCAATATTGAGCAGTAGATATTATAGTAGCTACTTAACTGAATGCGGAGCACAGTGCTGTAAAGAGGTCAGCAAAGATGAACTCAGCAACAGGGAATGGATCGATCGAGTCTTCAAGCTGCTTTAGTACAATGGCGTACAAAATCGGACTGACCATTGCTTTGAGTCTGATCATTGCTGTTTCACTGACGGGAAATTCTTTCATCGTGTTGATCGTTTATAAAACGCCAACCTTAAGAAAACCGATAAATTATTTCATCGCAAATATGGCCATGTCCGATCTGCTGTATTCAATATTCTGGCCACCTACGCTCCTATCATTGATATACCGTACAAACTTGTGGCTCATCGGTGGCCAGTTTGGCCCGGCCTTGTGTAAGCTTGTTCATTTCTTTACTGACATTTGCATTATCGTTTCAATGCAGAATCTGGTTTTGATAACAGTGGATCGATTTGTAGCAGTGGTATTTCCACTCCGTTCCCCACTCATCAGATCCAAGCTGTGTCCGTTCTTCATTCTCGGCACGTGGATAGCCTCAGCGGCTGTCATTTCGCCACATTTGTTCACCTACCAACTCGTTGAATACTCAGGGGAAATGAGGTGCGACACGAGATGGAAGAAAGCATTCGGGGAGTCCTCGTCCCTTGCCGACTACCACTTGGCGTGCTGTATTCTGTTTATATATATATCCCTGTGATGTTGTTGGTCCTTCTTTACTCCATCACCATCATCAAGCTCAAGACACAGTTACACCCAGGTGAACAGTCCGCGAACACTCAGCAACAGAGGAACAAACGAAACAGAAACGTGCTTCAATTGTCCATTGCTATCGTGTTAGTTTTTGTGTTTTACAGGTTACCTTATGCTACTAACTTTTTAATCATAGGGTATCGAGCCAGTTCCATCCATCCGTTTTCCTGTCGTTTTTGGCTATACTGTTATGTCACCTACTATATGGCGGTCGGGTACTGTGCTATCAACCCGATTATTTGCTTTGTTTTTAGCAGTAATTACCGACAAGGTCTTAAAAGACTCATGAACTGTTCTTAACTGTTATGTTGTACAGGCGTAAGTCGCAAAAATTTGCTTTAGAATGAATATGTTAAGAGTTGGAGGTTCGTGGAACCGCACTTTAGCACTGTTCTTAACTTTTGTACAGGCGAAAGTTGCAAAAATTTGCTTGTGAATGAATAATATATGTTAAGAGTTCGAGGTTCGTGGAACAATTGCAAATGAAAACTAATGTATCCTGCTACTGTACTATAAGGAGGTTAGTAAAATGTATTCATTATATGACTTCGAAAAATGACGGCATGTTTGGCACAGGAGTAACGTAAGTGTTTGTATAGCAAAGGGCTTAGAATAAATAAATAAATAAGTATGCTTATCTGATGTTGATTTCTTTTTCTTCTAATAAGTTTCAGCGCGATTTGAGCGGCGGTACCGGGCGGGGGGGGGGGAGGATACTCCTAGAAATTCTTGGTCGGGGTGTGCCGCACAGTTCTCCAAATCATGACCTTATTTCAGACCAAACATTTTATATTTTGACTGCACTACACAACATCAACAGACAAAATGTAAAGGCAAATAAGTTTATTTGGGGACGGCTTAGCGAGAACCAACCCTAAAAGTACGTATGAAATACAGCAGTAGGTAAATAACTAATATACAACACTCGTAAATAAACTAGCTTTCACAAAAAGAAAGAACTGCTACATCTGGTCGACCTCGACCTAAATTCCCCATTTAAGCACGCAGGCTTAGTGTCAGTTAGACTTGCTTGTCCCGGATAACTGGGACAGGGAACACTGAGGACCGCAGAGGCTGAGCGCTGGGAAAAAAAAAACTGAGAATCGTTCACTAACGTACCCAACAAGGCATGTAGGCCAATTGCCAGTTCTTTAGGCTACCAGAAAAGGCTAGGGCACGACATGAAGGGTAAACAAATGGCTAACAACCCTTACAAGAAGTCTGTCACATTGTAAGCTGCGTCAAGCTAGACATATCTCGCCACTTAAAGAGCGGTCCCAGGACAGCTGACATAAGCATACATAGAAATAAACATATAAAAAATCAAATGATTTATTTCATGTACATCTAACGTCAATATATTAAGTAAAGGAACAGCTAGACAACGTGTGAAAAACCAAACAAGTACATAAGATAAGAAACGGGAAAACAAAACAAACTGAAAAGTAGCAGAGCTGAGCTACCGCTTACAACTGAAACAAATGCGGTAAGACGGAGGCCAGAAAAAACCTGCCCAAAAAAACCCGAAGGGCAAAAATGCGGGCAGGAAATCTGGGTAGGAACCAAGGGTCAAGCTCAAAGCCCTTCCTACGGGACTTTACAATGTAATCGACAATAGACTGCTCCTAAAAAAAAAAACAAAAACAAAAACAAACAAAAAAAAACTAAAGAAAAAACCAAAGAGAGGTTGGTTCACGTGATATACGCAGCTTTACATACCCCCGATATGGCTACCCATGGTGTACCCGGCCTAGTACCCAGGCCCTGTTGTATCTCTTGCCGTCAAAATATTTATTGCTGCCTTCTTCGCGGGCTCATTCCCCAGAAATAACATTTTTCACATCCATTTTCAGACCTGGCATCTAAGAAATTATGTCATCATCTCTTAGATTCAACGCCAACCAAAGAGATTTCTTATTCGCATAATTATTTCTCTTTCTTTCTTATACATTAGGAATTGAAACGATAAATACGTTCATACACTCCCGTAGTTTCCTCAAAAACCATACCCGATTCCAGACCAAAATGCATGGGCAAAATGCATACCCATTTTCAGACCAATACGGCGCAAAAACCATACCCTTTGGGGCGGCACATACCTTTATGACTTAGAAAAAGGATTATACCCCGGGTGGCGGTGGCATCAACTGATCTCAAATGCAGCCGTCGCAACACTGAGATGGATTGCAGAAAATCGCCAACTAGGCAAGAACTAATGCTCCCAAATTTATTAAGCGAAAAACCTGTTGCATATATACACTTTCCTCGCTAAAATCACAAAGCGATCCCTCAAGATGACACTTCTGCAATCCATTTCAATCAACTTTGCGTTTGAATGCATTCGAAATATCGAACACTCTTACATCCTCAAAAACAGCTCATTCTCTCTCGCCCCCGCAGAGGCCTCTTTGTATCGTAGGGAGGCTGGAGAAGGGAGAGAAGAAAGCGCGCGGGGGACAATGGAAAGGGGAAAGAGAAGAAGCGAGGTTTTTCCCTCTTCCCATCGTTCCCCGCGCGCTTTCCATGATTTTCCGGTTATTGCTATTTTATACCCAACGGGAGCCTCTGCGGAAATTAAACGTATTGGGAGCTCAGCTTTTATTAAAAGGACGAGTCACTCCTTTTTTTTCATGGTAACAAACAGTTAAACAAGCCGAACCGCCAGAGTAAGGAAAAAGGTTCTGCGAAGAAAACAATTCTTAAAAATTAAAAACACCCATAGAGATTTTACCTCTACCCCGAGGTTTAACTTAAATTTTGTAGTTATTATATTTTTAAAATTGTAGTTTTCTTTGGGCACTTGCGTGTTTCATCTACCGTTGCGAATGCGTTCCATATCATTAATTAACCTGGACAAGGTGTTTAACTAAACTGCCTTTTAAACAACAACAGTTTAACTACTATTGCCCCAAAGAAACGCTTTTTTCTGATTATTTTGTTGCTTGATTTTTGCTATGTTTCTTCTTTTCTTTGTGGCTCCCAAGCTGATAAATGGCTATTTTACGCGTTTTCAACCGGTTTGTTTCCTCTTCATTAGAAATAATCTTTATTCCTGTCCACCAGAGAATGTTAAAAGTCAGGCCTACGTCACCCTCGTTCGTCGTTGTCTGGAATACGCCTGCAGGGTATGGGACCCACATACTCAAAGGCATTGCCAAGATATTGAAGGAAGAAACTGTAGTTTTCTTTGGGCACTTGCACGTTCCATCTACCGTTGCGAATGCGTTCCATATTTGTAATTAACCTGGACAAGGTGTTTAATTAAACTGCCTTTTAAACAAAAACGGTTTTATTGCACTAAAAACACGCTTTTTTTTCTAATTATTTTGTTGCTAGATAAATTTTGACTACCTGTTGTTATGTTTCTTCTTTCTTTTGTGGCTCCCAGCTGATAAATGACTATTTTACGCGTTTTATTGCAACCGGTTTGTTTTCTCTTCATTAGAAGTAATCTTTATTCCTGTCCACCAGAGAATATTAAAAGTCAGGCCTACGTCACCCTCGTTCGTCGTTGCCAAGATATTGAAGGAGTACAACGGTAAGCCGCCAGATTGGTAAAAAAAAAAAAAGCTACGAACGGGAACCGGGTACAGTCATTAATCTCCTGAACGATTTGAACTGGCATTCACTAGAGCTGAGACGCAAAACTGCACGACTTACCACCATGTACAAAATAGTGAACGGTCAATATTCTGGAGTACATTGCACGCCCAACCCGTGTTACATGCTCTTCCCATAGCAGCAAGTTTAGAAACATTTTAGTAACAGCAATATGTACCTATAAGTACAATTTTTTTAACTAGAACTCTAAAAGAATGGAACACTTTCCTTTTTATTAGATCAGCCCTTCGTGGACGCATTTAAATCTGCTGTTACTAATTATTTTAATCTCCCTCATTGACTTTACACATTAGTGATTTTATACATCATTTTATTTTATTATTTATTTATTTATTATTATTATATATTATTATTATTGTTGTTTTTTCTGTTTTGCACATTTACAGTGATAGGAAAAAATAGAAAAGCGCTCAACCGACTGAGCCATTCCTGCTGCGGTACTTTCCTCACTCTAAAATGTCATTTTTGGGTGTAAGAGTTTCAGGATATCAATTGAGTTGTCCTATTTCACCTGCCCGAAACCGTTATGTTGTATCAAATACTTGTTATTATTTTACAAAAAGCCCAATAAAAGCATCGCCAGTTCAAAATACTGATATTGTTTTTTTATTGACATTTTGTCGCTGGTTAAAGTTTTGTCTTCCCCTTTTTTGATCTAAAAATTGCTTAGTTTATAGACGTATAGCCGAAGATTAAATTTGCAACGCCTGTAAATTAAAAACCTGTTTGCTCCAGTAGTTTTGAACACGTGTCGCTTCAGTTTGCTCCCTTTCAAGATAGTTATTAATACAATAGAACCTTCCATGGTTGTGCGAAAATCTGTCGAAATGCAGAAAAAGAACGCCCTAAAATAAGTAAAGATGCCTTTAGGAGCGTCCTTTTTAACTGAACTCAGGATGTGTTTAATGGACTTTTGTGTCTTCAGTGAACCAAAACAAGAAAACAACCAGCTCCCTTTCAAGTGCGTTAGTAATACACTAAGAATCACCTGACCGGAAGAGGAAAGTTGTTTAGGCTCATCAGTAACAACATGAATTCAATACTGACTCTACAAAGTTCGATTCACAACGTCGCGTCGACAGTCCGTCACATAATCAGCTCAGCATGAAAGATGAGCTCTATAATTTATAAGCCTTATGGTAGCTACTTAACTGAATCCCAAGGAGATAGTAGAGTACTAAAGTGATGACGTCACAAAAATTAAATTTCTGAAATTATGGGATTTGTCAGGATATTCTGAAAGAACAATGTCCAAGAGGCCTACTTACCAAAAATGAGCATTTCGGGGCAAATTACCTCTGAGATGTTAGCTGGTTATACTCAGAAAACTCCATAGAAACCCTTCTAATTTTTTGGGGGGTCGACCCAAAAAAATTTAGAGGGGTTTGTATGGAGTCTTCTAAGACTGGGCTACGATCTCAGAGGCAATTTGCCCCGAAATGCTCATTTTTGGCAAGTAGGCCTCTTGGACATTGTTCTTTCTGAATATCCTGACAAATCCCATGATTTCAGAAATTTCATTTTTATGACGTCACACTTTAGTACTCTATCGCTGCATAGAGTCGGACTATTCCAGTCATGCACTTGAGGTGCTCATCTTGTTTTTCAATCTGACCGTCTGAACACAGAAAGCCAAGGGAGCGAAGAGATTTCATAGTTTACAATATTGGTTACTAAGGCTGACTAACAAAATAACAGACAAATGAACTGTCGGCTATTTGAGTGTCCATGTATTTAGCACGAAAGTATTAATTGAGGACACCATTTTTACGTCTCATACTGGAGATGCATGGGACCTACATTTTATGTGGTCATCTAAGCCACGCAAAGGTCTAGCCATTTGCAGCAGGGCAAAGGCAGTTTCTTCATTTCTCAGTCATATCAAGAACGTCAGAACGGGCTATTGATTATTGAAACCCGCGACCTCCCGCTCAAGCTGTCAAGCGCCTTTCCGACTGAGTAGCCTACTAGCAAGCTCTCCGGGCCGCTCTAGCGCTAGAGAGCCACGAAAAACTTGCTAGAGGGTTTCAATGGCGTGGTAGCTTTGACGGTTGGTGGTGAAATTTTTCCAATTTTGACGGTTGACGGTTAAAGTTTAGAGTTTTTGACAGTTGACAGTTATGCATTAGGTTCAGCAGATGTAAAGGTAAAGGTCGGCATCTAAATCAAGGCTGTTCCAAAGTCGCTTCAAATTCCCGGCCAGGCTAGGCGGGAAGAATGGCTGAGCCGTTTCAAAGTGAAAGAGGCGTTCCTAATTGGAAGTCACGTACTTAAGGTGGCTGAACACAGTTTTGGCAGTTTGTGATCCATATATGTCATTTGCCAAATCATGGCAAGAGAAAGGTCGCAACTCACAAGCTGAAACTTGGCAAGTGAAAAATATACTGATGAAAGATTTTGATTAACATTTAAAATTTGACGTTTCTGTAGTTTCCATGGCAACATGAATGGTTGAATACAACCATAAAATTTCACTTCTACTCAGTTTACATAAAATTCGCTCATTGGATTTTCCTATAAACTTGCACACGGCTTACTAGAATAAATCATTACCATTTGAATCTTATTTGACCAAATTATAACAGACGGGTTCTAGAAAATCAAGATTTTAATTGTATTGTAATTATTAAATGGTCACAAAATTTGTCTGTTCAACTTCCATTGTAAAGTTCTCATTATTAAAAATACAATTAAAGTAAAAATTCTGGCAAATATCATAAAATTCTAATGACTAGATTTTGACAAATCGTGTTCTGTGTACCATTGCTCTTTCGGCACCATGTTTGTTTGTCTAATTTAAAACACGCGCCGTCACGCGAGTTACCGCTGACCGCCGGCAAACTGTGTTCAGCCACCTTAAGGTGGCTCGATACAGTTTTTCAGGGCCAACACCTCCCAAGTTTGAGCATAAACTACGTCGCCATAAACAAAGTTTTGTAAAAATTGCCACCACAGTTGTATTAGATAAAGATGAAAATTTGTTATGATCAAGGTTGCAACGGCATCGGAGTTGTCATAGCAACGAAATGACGCTATTACCTATTTTACTTGCAGCAGTATATCTCGGCACTGAGAACTGTTCTTCCGAAATCGTTCACGGGAGCTTTTTCCTCCAATAGCGGCCTCGATGTTCGTGAAGTTTAAGAGAAATCTGTAAGAGCGTTTTCGAGATATTTTGGGATGAAGTTTTTATGGTTAGGAACACAGTAAAAAATGGACAATATTGTTGTTTGGCCGTTATCTGTAGAAAATGAAGCGCTTTTTAAATGCAATTTCACCTCATAGTAGTTTCAATCTTTTTAAAAACGTGTGTGAAAAATCATGGAGATAGCTCCAGCCGATTGCTAGAAAGAAGGGTTTTATTAGTATGTATCGAAGCGCTCTTGTTAGCGGTTTTGCAAACATTTTGGTCTTCTTTAACAAATTAGGGAATAATTTTTAAACCGGTCGATAGATTTTTTTTAAAGTTTAAGATTCTTGAGATTAACCTTTCTTTGATATGACCTTTTAGTTTCAAGATTATTGATACATCGTAAGGCAGTAAAATAAGGGCTACAATTCGTTACTTTTTTATCGGAAGTTTCGTGATTACAAGTGAAAGCCTCTCATTATTCAGGGCATTGTCTGTGCAAGTTTCATTTTCACGTGAACAACAGTAACTAACAATGCATTTGACATATGCAAAAATACTAGCTATTGTTATGCGCGAAAATATGAAACTTGTAGACAATACCCTGAATAATGAGAGGCTCACATTTGTAAACACAAAATTTCTGCCAAAATTTTGGCGAATTGTAGCCCTTATTTTACTGCCTTACAATATATCAATAATCTCGAAACTAAAAGGTCATATAAAATGAAGGTTAATCTCAAGATTCTTAATTTTTTAAAAAAATCTATCGAGCGGTTTAAAAATTATTCGCTAATTTTTTAAAGCAGGCCAAGATGTTCAAAAACCGCTAACAAAAGCGCCTCGATACATACTAATCAAATCTTTCTTTCTAGCAATCGGCTGGACCTATCTCCACGGTCTTTCACACACGTTTTTAAAAAGATTGAAACTACTATGAGGTGAAATTGCATGTCAAAAGCGCTTCATTTTGTACAGATAACAGCCGAACATTAAGATTATCCATTTTTTACCGTATTATAACAACAAAATCTTTATCCCAAAATATCTCGATAACGCTCTTGCAGATTTCCCTTAAACTTCACGAACATCGAGGCCGCTATTGGAGGAAAAAGCTCTCGTGAATGATTTTGGAAGAACAGTTCCCAGTGCCGAGAAATACTTCTGTAAGTAAAATAGGTAATAGCGTCATTTCGTTGCTATGACAACTCCGATGTCATTGCAACCCTGATCATAAAAGATTTTCATCTTTATCTAATACAACTGTGGTGGCAATTTTTCCAAAACTTTGTTTTATGGCGACGTAGTTTATGCTCAAACTTGGGAGGTATTGGCCTTGCAAAACTGTATCGAGCCACCTTAATTCAATGTTCGGCTCATGAAAAGTTCTGCGTCCATACCGGGCCTAACAAGATGTCTAACAAGTAGCCGCAGGCAAGTTTCTTGAGAATTGAATTATATCTTCTTCATCAAAGATAAAGGCAAACTCCTGGCTGAACAAAAAGTTTTAAGCAAGGAGTTGGTGAAAGAAGGCACGCAATAGCTGTGGGAAAATATTTCGAACGTATGTTTAGCTTGCCAAGAAGTAGAGAAAAGAAAAGCCGACTGATCTGTCCCGTGACCGGACGATAGGGCCTCCAGAAACTGAGGAGATACCGTAAAATTCCGAAAATAAGCCCCTCGTATAAGGCCCTCCAAATATAAGCCCTCCAAATCGGTAACGCAAAAAACCCTCCGTTAAATCGCCCCTCCAAATATAAGCCCCCGGGGGCTTGTACCTGGAAAATTGCCCTCAAATACAAAGCAAAACAAAACAAACGCAAAATTTCCCTCCGTAGATAAGCACCTCCGAATATAAGCCCCTCCAAAAATAAGCCCCTCTAAAAGGGCCTTTGAAAAATATAAGCCCCGGGGCTTATTTTCGGAATTTTACAGTATATTAATGTATATACAAAAACGAATCTGATATCCAGCTCTCATATAGTCTAAAAGAGTAAAAGACAAAAAAATAAACGCCGATTAAACGCGAGACACGACACGAAGACACAGATGGGTTAAAGAAGGTTAGAAACGTGCTAACTATTTTCGTTGGTGTGGGCTCAGTATTAAGACACAAAAACGCCAAATGGTTTAAAAAAAAAGCACCAAATGATAACTGGCCATGAATTATACTTTATCAGTCATATTCATTGTCATTTTTAATTTAATTTTCAATTCAACTTAAAAATTAAAAAGAGATGTCGACAATTCTTTTTTACTTTCTCTTACTCATAGACAAGTAGTTTAGGTCTAAGGCTAAGGGGTTTACCTGTGGAAAATGAAATATTAGCTTTAACTTTGGCATAGATGATGGCGTTGAATCGAAATTTGGCACAAGTAAAGAACTCATCGTCCTTAACATTTTTAAGTATAAATTTTTTGTTAATAAGATGTAACGTGACTATTTCCTTAAAAATCGTAAGTTATTGACCAATTGGTGGCCGGTTGAAAAGAAATTGAGCAATAACACCTTTCTAATTTATATTATAAATACTTCTAACACTTCACGTTTGGAATGACCGTCCATTGCACTTCAATAAAACATTATGAGGGAAAACATCATTTGAAATGCCCAAATTTAATCTTGAATTATTTAAAAATGTTTTTTAAACGTCTCGTACATTCATTCCAAACGTAGAAATACCAATTTGTTTATCCTGCAATCAAAGTAAATTCGCCACCAATTCGCCAATTTCCTTCATTTTCAATTTTTGATCACGTGACATGTCACGTGACCATAGTTAAACGTTAAGGCACAAGAAAACCTCAAGATTTACGTTAAAAGAAAAAAAATCATTTTGTTCTAGGTCTCCTAGCGAGAGACATTGCCAATCATCCATATGCTCAGAACAAACCTCTGACCCAGGCCTTTCACCTCTTGAGTAGGAAAACCTTTGTCACAGTGGGTCATCGAGGATTAACGTGGATTGAGAAGACAGTTCAAACTTGAAAACTTGAATCATTTCTTAACTTCTGTTTTTTGCCGAATTAAATTTATCAGTCAATCCCAGGTGTAAAAATTATCCAAGACGGGAGTAGAATAAGGCCTTTTATTAATAAAAAAGGGTGTTGACAGACTTGAACTTACAGGAATTTTATAAAATTCGTGCGGAATATCTTCCAAGCCTTTATAACTTTTCTCTAGTTTCTTGTCTGTTTGCGATTTGGGTTAAGGATCTTGTTAAATTGCAAGATGTTTCCTCGTTTTGATGATTATCTTTTGAATGCCGCCAGCCTTTCATCGGCATGGCCTTAGCACTTTTTGTAAGTCGACTAAAGCTTAATGTTATGCTGCGTGATTATTTGTGGTGGTAAAAGTTTTTGGTAGTAAATTATGACGACACATCTACCAAGTTATTTCTCAGTATGACAGGTATACACCGCACAGTTCTTTGTATGAATAATTTCCGTTTTATATGAGCAAGTACGTACCGGTGGGGTGAATAGATTTGGAGGCAAAAACTTTGACAAACTGTTTATCTGTTTCAACATTAAAAGCTTTACAAGCCGTAGTCTAGCATCGCCAGTTTCCTTTCGTCATAAACTTTCAACAGTAGCAAAACAATTTTTTCTTTTCAGTTAGAGAAGACGCCAATTTGAATGTGCATTTTACATGATTAAGGAGCGAGGAGCCGCTAATTTCTAGTTAAGAGTGCACAAGGAACAGGGAAAATTGCCATCTTCTAAGCGGCGTCAAATTGACGACTCTTGGATACAATATTTTGAATCATACATTCAGTTGCTTTCAGCTAAAGTTTTTAATTAATTCTAAACAAATTGGGGGCTTAATTAACCTTTATTAAAAGGACGAGTCACTCCTTTTTTTCATAATAACAAACTCTTAAACAAGCCGAACCATACTAGTAAGGAAAAAGGTTCTGCAAAGAAAACAATTCTTAAAAATTAAAAATGCCCACAGAGATTTTACCTCTACCCCGAGGTTTAACTTATATTTTGTAGTTAAATTTTTGTCGATTTTATTTAAGACTTAATTTGCGCCTTTCATCTACCGTTGAGAACTTTTCGTTCCATTTCAGTAATTAACCTGGGCAAGGTGTTTATTACACAAAAACAGTTTAAATATTATTGCCCCATGAAATGCTTCTCTAGTTATTTTGTAGCTTGATAAGTTTTGACTACCTGTACGTATTTAAATGACAAATTGGATAGTTAACGTGTGTATTTCCTCACTTCCCGGCGCCTGTGGAAAATGTGCCCCAAGCACGCATTTCTTTGGAAATGTCTTTCAGTCGATTTATCGACACAACCACAACCGGACTAAAATGAAGTGTTTCTCTCCCCCGGCGCAAGTTATGTTTCTTCTTTCCTTTGTGGCTCCCAAGCTGATTGATGACTATTTTACAGGTTTTATTGCAACCGATTTGTTCTCTCTACTATAACCCTTTCAATAAAACGCATAAAATCGCCATTAAACGGCTCGAGAACCACAAAGGAAAGAAGAAACATACAACTTAGGTCCCCGGGTTAGCCAATTATTTTGTATTTATAGAGAGTGCGAGTGAGGACTAGTGGGGCTGGGGTGGGCAAAAACGCCCTCCCCCACCCAGCCCCTTAAGGTTGTTTGGTTGCGACAACGCGGGACTTGGCTTAACTTGTTGTGTAATCTCACAATGTCAAACGCAGATACTCAAGAGAGCAAAGAGATTTTATAGTTTACAATGTTTCTCACAAAGACACTAACAGAATAACAGAAAAGTGAACTGTGGCTAGTTGAGTGTCAATGTATTTATAGCTTGACACTATTTTTGGGTCTTCTTCCCACTAGAGACCGGACCGCCATTTTATTTGGTCATCCGAGCCAGCTTTTCATGACAAAGGCACTGTACCTTCGTTTTTTTCAGTTATTTTAAGACCCGAGTATTGTTGCGGCCCCGGGAATCGAACACACAACCTCCTGTTTTAGTATCACACAAGCGCTCTACCGACTAAGCTAATCCTGCCGCAGTTCTTTCACTCGTGTTATTGTTGGGTTTAGAAGTTTGAGGATATCAATTGAGTTGTCCTATTTCCGCACCTGCCCGAAACCGTCACGTTTCATCAAATACTTATTATCATTTTACAAAAAGCCTAATAAAAGCATCACCAGTTTAAAATACTAAATTTATTGAATATTTGTCGCTGGTTCAAATTTTGACTTCCCCTCACTTTAACCCGAAAATTGCTTTAAAAGCAAGCACTTTTTGAATTTACAGGTGTTGCAAATTTAATATTCGGCTTTACGTCCATAAACTAAGCCTTAGTTTATAGTTTTCAGCTATAGTTTTTAATTAATTTTAAACGAATTGGGGGCTCAAACTTTACTATAAGGGCGAGTCACTCCTTTTTTTCATAATAACAAACTGTTAAATAAGCCGAACCGCCAACGTAAGGGAAAAGGTTTGGCGAAGAAAAAAATTCTTAAAAATTAAAAACATCCATAGATATTTTACCTCTACCCCGAGGTTTAACTTAAATTTTGTAGTTAAATTTTTTTGTAGATTTTATTTAACACTTAATATGCGCTTTTCATCTACCGTTGAGAACTTTTCGTTCCATTTCAGTAATTTCCATTTCAGTAATTAACTTGGGCAAGGTGTTTATTACACAAAAACAGTTTAAATATTATTGCCGCAAGAAATGCTTCTCTGGTTATTTTGTAGCTTGACAAATTTTGACTACCTGTACGTATTTACATGACAAATTGAATAGTTAACGTGTATATTTCCTCACTTCCCGGCGCCTGTGGAAAATGTGCCCTAAGCGCGTATTTCTTTTGAACTGTCTTTCAGTCGATTTAATCGATACAACCACAACCGGACTAAAATGAAGTGTTTCTCTCCCCCGGCGCAAGTTATGTTTCTTCTTTCCTTTGTGGCTCCCAAACTGATTAATGACTATTTTACGGGTTTTATTGTGACCGGTTTGATCTCTCTATAGTCCTTTCAATGAAACGCATAAAATCGCCATTAAACGGCTCGAGAACCACAAAGGAAAGAAGAAACATACAACTTAGGTCCCCGGGTTAGTCAATTAATTTGTATTTATAGAGAGTGCGAGTGAAGACTAATGGGGCTGGGGTGAGCAAAAACGCGCTCCCCCACCCAGGCCCCTCAAGGTTGTTTGGCTGCAACCACGCAGGGCTTGGCTTGTTGTGTAATCTAACAATATCAAACGCAGATACCCAAGAGAGCTAAGAAATTTTATAGTTTATAATGTTTCTCACAAAGACACTAACGGAATTATAGCTTGAAGGTGTTAATTGAGGACACTATTTTTGGGTCTTCTTCCTACTAGGGGGACTGGGACTGCCATTTTATTTGGTCATCGGAGCCAGCCTTTTCATGACAAAGGCACTACATTCATTTTTTCAGTTATTTTAAGACCCGAGTATTGTTCCGGCCCCGGGAATCGAACACATGACCTCCTGCTTTAGTATCACACAAGCACTCTACAGACTAAGCTAATCCTGCCGCAGTACTTTCACTCGTGTTATTGTTGGGTTTAGGAGTTTGAGGATATCAATTGAGTTGTCCTATATTTCATCTGCCCGAAACAGTCACGTTTCATCAAATACTTGTTATCATTTTACAAAAAGCCTAATAAAAGCATCACCAGTTTAAAATACTTTTATTGAATATTTGTCGCTGGTTCAAATTTTGACTTCCCCTCAGTTTAATCCGAAAATTGCTTCAAAAGCAAGCAGTTTTTGAATTTACAGGTGTTGCAAATTTAATATTCGGCTTTACGTCCATAAATTAAGCGCTTAGTCAGTATAGACGTATAGCCGACGATTAAATTTCCAACACGTGTCGTTTCAGTTTCCTCCCTTTCAAGAGAGTTATTTAAAATACAAAAGAACCTTCCATGGTTTTTTCAACCTTTTAGTTATGCAAAATCTGTCGAAATGCATAAAAGGAACGCCTGAACTCAGGATGCGTTTAATGGACAATTCCAGTCATGCGCTTGAGGTGTTTATCTCCTTTTTCAATCGGACCGTCTGAACACAGAAAGCTAAGAGAGCGAAGAGATTTTATAGTTTACTATGTTTGTTACTAAGGCTGACTAACAGAAAAACAGACAAATGAACTGTCGGCTATTTGAGTGTCTATGTATTTATTTTAGCACCAAAGTATTCACTGAGGACACCATTTTTGCGTGGCACTGCAGATGCATGGGGCCTGCATTTTACGCGGTCATCTAAGCCACGCAAAGGACTAGCCATTAGCAGGGCAAGGGCAGTTTCTTCTATTTTCTCAGTTATATCAAGACCCTGAGTATGGTCCGGCCCCGGGAATCAAACCCGCGACCTCCCGCTCAAGCAGTCAAGCGCCTTTCCGACTTAGTAGCTTGCTGACAAGCTCTCCGGGCCGCTCTAGCACTAGAGCGCCCCGGAGAGCTTGCTAGAGGGTCTCAACGGCGTGGTAGCTTTGACGGTTAAATGACTGCCTTAAATTTCTCCAATTTTGACGGTTGACGGTTAAAGTTTAGAGCTTTTGATGGTTGACAGTTATTAAATGCAAATTTAGTTTCAATTTAAAGTAAATATTAACTTCTGTCTGAATTAATATTACTGTTGTGTTTTGGAGGTTGTCTTGGCGTTTTACTCTTACAATTTGGAAATGTTTTCAGATATAAGCAGGTTGAATTGTTAGGTCTTGTTATGTCTAGAAACGCGTTTCGAGAACATGGGAACTGATTTTTCCCTTTTAGAGATTCCGGCTTTAGGAGCTAGAATCCCGTGCATTTTTTACGGTTGACGGTTAATATTTAGGCTGTTTGACGGTTGACGGTTAACCTCATTGAGACCCTGAGCTCTTGCTAGCAGGCTACCGACTGAACTAATCCTGGGTGTCTTGTAACTTAGTAGACTGTAGACATGTATGATATCAATTGATTTGTTTTTTCGCCTGCTTTAAGCCATTACTCGCACCAAATATTTGTTATCATTTTACAAAAAAAGCCCAATAAAAGCATTCGCAGTTTGAAATGCTTTTATAGACATTCTGTCGCTGGTTAAAATTTTGACTTCCCCTTTTTTAATCTCAAAATTGCTTAGCATGTTTTAGCCGAAGAATAAAAAAGGGTTTGGAACATGCATCGTTTCAGTTTGCTCCCTTGCAAAACAGTTATTAAATACAACAGAACCTTTCCATGGTCAGCTCTTCAACCTTTTACAGGGACCCGTTATGCAAAATCTGTCGAAATGCATAAAAAGAATGCCTTAAAATGCCTTTGGGAGTGTCCTCTTTAACTGAACTCACGGTGTTTATTGACTGACTACTGTGTCCTTATTCAACTGCACAAAGAAGAAAAACTGTTAAAAAATAAGCCCTCTCCTTTCCCCCACATTGTGCCTAGCTTAGTACAAATATGTTTAACATGGGATTTGAGTTTTGTTGCCTTTCGGCGGAGTGTCCTTTTTTATATTTACTGAAACTCAGTAAGTTTTTATTGAACTACAAAATAAAAAACCAGCTCTCCTTCAAGTGCGTTCTTACAGCTGATTGGAACTGGAAAGTTCTTTAGGCTTATCAGTAACAATATGAATTCAATAATGATTCTACAAAGTTCGGTTAATAAAGGAACGACGCGTCAATCAGCTCAGCATGAAAGATAAGCTCTCAAATTTATTGGTTTTTGTTGACATCTGCCGTGTCAAGACGTCGCAGGGAGCATGAAAATTTTAATAAAAAACGGTTCCTGATCAGGTATAACTGAATGCTGTGTTTGCCGTAAAGAGGTCAGCAAACATGAACTCAACAACAGGGAATGGATCGATCGAGTCTTCAAGCTGCTTTAGTGCAACAGCGTACAAAATCGGAGGGACCATTGTTTTGAGTCCTGATCATTGCTGCTTCACTGACGGGAAATTCTTTCATTGTGTTGATCATTTATAAAACGCCAACCTTAAGAAAACCGATAAATTATTTCATCGCAAATATGGCCATGTCCGATTAGCCTGCGAACAGCAGACGCATTTCCGGTCGTCGCTTCTCTCCCTCCGAAAAATAGCCACCTACGAAACTATCATTGATACACCAAAAAAACTTGTGGCTCATCGGTGGCCAGTTTGGCCAGGCCTGGTGTAAGCTTGTTCCTTTCTTTGATGCCGTTTCCACTCTCGTTTCGATTCAGAATCTGGTTTTAATAACAGTGGATAGATTTGTAGCCGTGGTATTTCCACTCCGTTCTCCACTCATCAGATCCAAGCTGTGTCCGTTCTTCATTCTCGGCACGTGGATAGCCTCAGCGGCTGTCAGTTCACCACATTTGTTCACCTACCAACTCTTTGAATACTCAGGGGAAATGAGGTGCGTGATGAGATGGAAGAAAGCATTCGGAGAGTCCTCGTCCTTTGCCGACTACCTATTAGCAGGCTCTATTCTGTTTAGATACATCCTTGTGATGTTGCTGATCATCCTTTACTCCATCATCATCATCAAGCTCAAGACACAGAAACACCCAGGTGAACAGTCCGCGAACACTCAGCAACAGAGGAACAAACGAAACACAAACGTGCTTCAATTGTCCATTGCTATCGTGTTAGTTTTTGTGTTTTGCTGGTTACCTAATACTACCAACCTTTTAATCATAGGGTATCGAGCCACTTCCATACATTTTTCCTGTGGTTTTTGGCTATACTATGATGTCACCTACTATATGGCGGTCGGGTACTGTGCTATCAACCCGATTATTTGCTTTGCTTTTAGCAGTAATTACAGAGAGGGTCTTAAAAGACTCATGAACTGTTCTTAACTCAGTGTTATGTTGTACAGGTGTAAGTCGCAAAAATTTGCTTGTAAATGAATGTTGGAGGTTCGTGGAACACTTTACCACTGTTCTTAACTTTTGTACAGGCGAAAGTTGCAAAAATTTGCTTGTGAATGAATAATATATGTTAAGAGTTCGAGGTTCGTGGAACACTTGCAAATGAAAACTAATGTATCCTGCTAGTGTACTATAAGAAAGTTAACGTCTGTCCTGACTCGAAAAATGACGGCATGTTTGGCACAAGGGTAAATAAATAAATAAATATACTTATCTGATGTTGATTTCCTTTTCTTCTGATAAGTTTCAGCGCGATTTGAGCGGCGGTACCGGGCGGGGGGAGTACTCCTGGATTTTCTTGGTGGGGGTGTGCCATACAGTTCTCCAAATCGTGACCTTATTTGAGACCAAAACATTTCATTTTTCACATCCATTTTCAGACCTGGCCTCTAAGAAATTATGTCATCATTTTTTAGATTCAACGCCAACGAAAGAGATTTCTTATTTGCATATTTATGTCTCTTTCTTTCTTATACATTTGGAAATGAAATGATAAATACGTTCATACACTCCCGTAGTTTCCTCAAAAACCATACTCGATTCCAGACCAAAATGCATGGGCAAAGTCTATACCCATTTTCAGACCAATACGGCGCAAACCAACCATACCCTTTTGGAACAGTGCATACCTTTATGACTTACAGAAAAGATTATACCCCAGGTGGTGATGGCATCATCTGATATCAAATGTAGGCCGTCGCAACACTGAGATGGACTGCAGAGCATCGCCAACTAGGCAACAAACTAATGCTCCCAAATTTATTAAGCGAAAAAACTGATGCATATATACACTTTCCTCACTAAAATCACAAAGCGATCCCTCAAGATGACACTTCTAGTCTTCAATCCATTTCAATCAACTTTGCGTTTAAATGCATTCGAAATATCGAACACTCTTACATCCTCAAAAACAGCTCATTCTCTCTCGCCTCCCGCAGAGGCCTCTTTGTATCGTAGGGAGACTGGAGAAAGGGAAAAAGAAAGCGCGCGGGGGACAATGGGAAGGGGAATAAGAAAAAGCGAAATTTTCCCTCTTCCCATCGTCCCCCGCTTTCTATTTGTCGATTATTGCTATTTTTATTGGGATACCCCGCGGGAGCCTCTGCGGAGAAGAGAGGTTCATTCTCTCTTGCACAAGCTTTAAATTTTGTTTTTAAGGCGCAGTCATTCAGACGCCGAATTTTTCGTGAGCCGAACCTAATTCGAATAAAGGCCGACCCAAACAAAAACAACAACAATTTTATTCTTCGTAGGCATAAGGAGCTCAAAGAGCTGGAAAGCTAGTCGCGCCGGGGCAAGCCAAGTACATGAATAACATACCTACTAACTACCTCCCTATACGGGGAGATTCTGCCTGAGAAGGGTACCTTTTTCAGGCTTCAGGTGTAATTTTTTCGCTGTAAATCTGTTACCGAAGTCGAGTCTAGTCTTTCATCGGATCTAGATAGATTAATAAGTTGGTTTCGGTCTTTGCTAAATGTTTCCAAGACTTAAGATAATGCTAATAGGTACCCACCAAAGCTTAATGCAGTTGACAGTTTTTCGGTTGCAGCGGACAACAGTAGTTTAGAAGGGGTAGATACCTTTAGTGTAACTTACTGGCTGAAACCTCGTCCTGGAAAGAGCACGTTTTTAGCTCATTAGGCGAAGAGATCTCTTCTAAATTGGCCGCGGTTACTGCGTCGCGCTCCGGGAAAGTCTAATATAGTCAGCACTTGTGTTACATTTATATAATACGATTGTACTGCTTTTATTTGACTGTTGTGCGGTCGTCTGGGATAGCTGTGGCGAGGGTAGTAAATCCTATAGACTGGCCTGCAGTGCAGCCGTACCGCGTATTTTGGGCGGGTGACAGCTGCTTGTTTATGTTCGTACCGTTGAAGCTGCCATCTTTGATTTTGTAACGGAGAAAGATTGGGGAGAAAATTGCACTTCCACGAGCAAAAACGTTCGCACGCCCGAAGAAAACGCCTGCACTGCAGACTATACTTAGACAAGCTTAATCGCAGTGTTGCATGTTTAATCTAGGGCCGTGCAGTTAAGGCTGAGGAACTATCTACTCTATTTGGCTAGCACCATCTGCAAGCACTCCGTTACTTTCTAAATCTGCATGTCCTTGTCTATAAGTGTATCAACGGAATAGCAGAATAACTTCTGACCGGTCAACGGTTTTTTTTGTTCGTTAAGGATGGTTTTTCATTTATTTGCAAATTAGGAGGACTATCAATATAAAATTTCATGTTTATTAGTATTCTTTATACAAAATGTTCATCCTAGTCACTGCATGCCTACTGCAGCATTCAATCGTTTCAGTCATTCAACCCCGTATTTCCCCTAAGCCTGAATTCAAAGCCCTCTCCTGACTTTTCAGTTTGCAGAGTTTTATCTGGTATAATTATTTCAAGTGATTAAATCCCGGGAGGCACTTGGGTATTTTTTGGGTGAGTATGTGCCGCCCGTGACTCCAAATTGGTACCCCGTTCTAAAAAATTTTTTTTTCTAAAATTGATACCCCGTTCTAGATATGGGCCAATTTTTTATACCCCGTTCTAGAATTCGACCTAAAACTGATACCCCGTTCCAGAAATGGGCCAATTTTTTATACTCCGTTCTAGAAAGTTTGTAAATTGAAATAGCGCTGTTTTTTTAAAAAGATATTTCTTTATTTGTTCGACATATACATCAAATAAATGCTTCTTCATAATAATCCGGAGTACCTTCCCTGTGCATGTGGATACAATGCAGTTAATTATGACGCAAAATCTCTCATCATGTACAGAACCACGCTCGTAAGCTAACGATTTTCCTTCTCCTCCCCCGTCCCTTTTCTTTTGAGCCCGTCTCCATCTCCCTTGGGTACATTATGGACTCGTTCCAGACTTCCGCGCGCCTATTTATCCAATATTGCGGAGTCAGCGCTCGCGGCTCGCGCCAAAATACGCCCTCCCTGCACGCTAAAACACAGGGTGCAACAAGAGTACAACACTTTGCTTGTTAACGCATTGGACCGTATTTTTATAAGCAATCTGTCCTTGAATAATTTCAAATGGCTGCTTACAAAACTGGAGCTTTCGTGCGTTCGAAATATTATTATTCCCCGTTCTAGAAAACGCCTCTGAAATGGATACCCCGTTCTAAATCAGGAGCTTCAAAATCACGACCCCATTGGGCGGCACATACCCGTATAGGTAATGTATGGACCCCCCGCCCCCCGCGGGATTAAATCCGCGAAGTCAATTGGACATATGACTACTGAATACTACTGAGTTTTAGAATTGTCATTTTAATTTATGGTCATTAATGGCGAAGTTACGCATCACGTTTACGTCAAACTACAACCCGGAATTTGTGCCAAGAGACAAAGTTTCCTCTTTACTTATCGTTCGGGGTTTACTGTTCATTATTTCTACACCTTAATAAGTAGTTTCACGCAATTTTTTATCCATAAGAATTGTTTTGAGCTGTTTTTATCTGCTCATTTTCTATTCATATTTTGAGAAATTCTCAACTTGAATCTGCCGTTTGCCGTTTGCCGTATACATGAGGCTTAAGCTCTCTATTTATCGGATCGGACTGTGACCACAAAGGAAATGAGTTTAACGATATTGCCCATTTGAAAATGTCTTTATACTCATATTGTTGGCTCGATAAATTTTAACTACCTGTGTTTAAGATGAGTCAATTTGTTCGTTAATGATCGTAATTTCATCACATCACAACTGTTTAAAATGTTCTAAGCACGTACTGCTTTTCGAATGTCTTTCAATCTATTCAATCACAAACCAGGAGCTGATCACCACACCTGACTAAAATGAGGTATTTACTCAAGCTGTGTATTTCTTCTTTCCTTTGTGGTTCCTGAGCTGGTTTTATTGCAGCCGGTTTGCTCTCTTTATAATCCTTTCTATCTAACTCATAAACAAAATGGCCATTAAACGGGTGTGTTTGTCAGTTTAACTGAACTCAGGATGTGTTTATTGAGCAACAGATCAGTGTCTTAATGTAAAAGACCAGAAAACATTAATGTCAGTCACGACAAAACACGCGATTAACAGCCCTGTCACGTTTGTCACACACAAGCGTTTTGCCGTCCTGATGCAGTAAACTAACGTTTTGATACTCTAAGAATCACCTGACGGGAACAGGGAAGTTGTTTAGGCTTATCAGTAACAACACGAATTCAAAACTGATTCTACAAAGTTCGATTAACAACGACGCGTCATACATAATCAGCTCAGCATGAAATTAATTGGTATTTATTGACGTCTGCGGTGCCAAGACTTTAGCAGCTGGGACATGTTACAGACGTTTTTAAAGTGAGAGGGGGCAGGTTCAACTAGCCAAGCCCCGCAACTGCACGCAAACGAGTGTAAAATTTCGCGATTTTCTGGAGCAAATCTTCACTCGCTCTGAACCTATCACCTTTAAACTTAGTAAGTTTCCTAATTTTAAGCCGCTCTTTCCAGTAAGATCAATGGATCCGATTCGCTAATTAATTGTGTTTAGCAAAAGTTAAAAAAAATCAGGAAAGGGTCTATCACCTGATCGGAACAGGGAAATTGTTCAGCCTTATGATCAGTATCAACATGAATTTAATACTGATTTTACAAAGTTCAATTAACGTTGCGTCATACATCATCAGCTCAGCATCATGAAAGATAAGCTCTATAATTTATTGGTATTTATTGACGTCTGCGGTGCCAAGACTTTAGCAGCTGGGACATGTTACAGACGTTTGTAAAGTGAGAGGGGGCAAGTTCAACTAGTTCAAGCCCCCGCAACTGCACGCAAACGAGTGTAAAATTTCGCGATTTTCTAGAGCAATCTTCACTCGCTCTAAACCTATCACTTTTAAACTTGGTAAGTTTCCTAATTTTAAGCCGCTCTTTCCAGCAGGATCAATGGATCCGATTCGCTAATTTGTGTTTAGCAAAAGTTAAAAAAAATCAGGAAAGGGTCTATCACCTGATCGGAACAGGGAAGTTGTTTAGGCTTATCAGTATCAACATGAATTTAATACTGTTTCTATAAAATTCAATTAACGTTGCGTCATACATCATCAGCTCAGCATCATGAAAGATAAGCTCTATAATTTACTGGTTTTTATTGACGTCTGCGGTGCCAAGACTTCGCAGGGGGCATGGAATTTTTAAAGTTCTTAATCAGGTAGCATTTGCAATATTGAGCAGTACATATTATAGTAGCTACTTAACTGAATGCGGAGTACAGTGCTGTAAAGAGGCCAGCAAACATGAACTCAACAACAGGGAATGAATCGATCGAGTCTTCAAGCTGCTTTAGTACAACGGCGTACAAAATCGGACAAACCATTACTTTGAGTCTGATCGTTGCTGTTTCACTGACGGGAAATTCTTTCATTGTGTTGATCGTTTATAAAACGCCAACCTTAAGAAAACCGATAAATTATTTCATCGCAAATATGGCCATGTCCGATCTGCTGTATTCAATAATCTGGCCACCTACGACCCTATCATTGATACACAGCACAAACTTGTGGCTCATCGGTGGCCAGTTTGGCCAGGCCTTGTGTAAGCTTGTTCATTTTTCTGACGTTTCCAGTATCGTTTCGATTCAGAATCTGGTTTTAATAACAGTGGATCGATTTGTAGCCGTGGTATTTCCACTCCGCTCTCCACTCATCAGATCCAAGCTGTGTCCGTTCTTCATTCTCGGAACGTGGATAGTCGCAGCGGCTTACCTTTCGCCCTATTTTTACACCTACCAACTCGTTGAATACGCAGGGAAAAGGTGGTGCGCCGCGAGACGGAAGAAAGTATTCGGAACGTCCTCGTCCCTTGCCGACTACCACTTGGTAGGTCCTATTCTGTTTATATATATCCCTGTGATGTTGTTGGTCCTTCTTTACTCCATCATCATCATCAAGCTCAAGACACAGAAACACCCAGGTGAACAGTCCGCGAACACTCAGCAACAGAGGAACAGACGAAACAGAAACGTGCTTCAATTGTCCATTGCTATCGTGTTAGTTTTTGTGTTTTGCTGGTTACCTAATACTACTAACTTTTTAATCATAAGGTATCGAGCCAGTTCCATACATCAGTTTTCCTGTGGTTTTTGGCTATACTATTATGTCACCTACTATATAGCGGTAGGGTACTGTGCTATCAATCCGATTATTTGCTTTGCTTTTAGCAGTAATTACCGACAAGGTCTTAAAAGACTCATGAACTGTTCTTAACTGTTATGTTGTACAGGCGTAAGTCGCAAAAATTTGCTTTAGAATGAATATGTTAAGAGTTGGAGGTTCGTGGAACCGCACTTTAGTACTGTTCTTAACTTTTGTACAGGCGAAAGTTGCAAAAATTTGCTTGTGAATGAATAATATATGTTAAGAGTTTGAGGTTCGTGGAACACTTGCAAATGAAAACTAATGTATCCTGCTACTGTACTATAAGGAGGTTAGTAAAATGTATTCATTATATGACTTCGAAAAATGACGGCATGTTTGGCACAGGAGTAACGTGAGTGTTTGTATAGCAAAGGGCTTAGAATAAATAAATAAATAAATATACTTATCTGATGTTGATTTCCTTTTCTTCTGATAACTTTCAGCGCGATTTGAGCGGCGGTACCGGGCGGGGGGATACTCCTAGAAATTCTTGGTCGGGGTGTGCCGCACAGTTCTCCAAATCATGACCTTATTTCAGACCAAAAAATTTCATATTTTGACTCCACTACACAACATCAACAGACAAAGTGTAAAGGCAAATAAGTTTATTTGGGGACGGCTTGGCGAGAACCTACCCTAAAAGTACGTATGAAATACAGCAGGAGGTAAATAACTAATATACAACACTCGTAAATAAACTAGCTTTCACAAAAAGAAAGAACTGCTACATCTGGTCGACCTCGACCTGAATTCGCCATTTAAACACGCACGCTTAGTGTCAGTTAGACTGCCAGTTAGGCTGCCAGTTAGGCTGGGGAAACTTAATAAAACGCTGATCAACGGATAACTGGGACAGGGAACACTGAAGGACCGCAGAGGCTGAGCGTCGGGAAAAAAACTGAGAATCGTTCACTAACGTACCCAACGAGGCATGTAGGCCAATTGCCAGTTAGGCTACCAGAAAAGGCCAGGGCACCACATGAAGGGTAAACAAATGGCTAACAACCCTTACTGAAGTGTGTCACATTGTAAGCAATCAAACTGCGTCAAGCTAAACATATCTCGCCACTTAAAGAGCGGTCCCAGGACAGCTGACCTAAGCATACATAGAAAATAAACATATAAAAAATCAAATGATTTATTTCATATACATCTAACATAAATGTATTAAGTAAAGGAACAGCTAGACAACTGTGAAAAACCAAACAAGTACATACGATAAGAAACAGGAAAACAAAACAAACTGAAAAGTAGCAGAGCTGAGCTACCGCTTACGACTGAAACAAATGCGGTAAGACGGATGCCAGGAAAAACCTGCCCAAAAAAACCCCGAAGGGAAAAAATGCGGGCAGGAAAACTGGGTAGGAACCAAGGCTCAAGCTCAAAGCCTTTCCTACAGGACTTTATAATGTAATCGAGAATAGAATGCTCCTAAAAAAACACAAAAGCAAAAACAAAAAACAAAAAATAAAGAAAAAACCAAAGAGAGGTTGGTTCACGTGATATACGCAGCTTTATATACCCCCCGATATGGCTACCCATAGTGTACCCGGCCTAGTACCCAGGCCCTGTTGTATCTCGTGCCGTCAAAATATTTATTTCTGCCTTCTTCGCAGGCTCATTCGCCAGAAATAACATTTTTCACATCCATTTTCAGACCTGGCATCTAAGAAATTATGTCATCATTTCTTAGATTCAACGCCAACAAAAGAGATTTCTTATTTGCATAATTATTTCTCTTTCTTGCTTACACATTTGGAATTGAAACGATAAATACGTTCATACACTCCCGTAGTTTCCTCAAAAACCATACCCGATTCCAGACCAAAATGCATGGGCAAAGTCTATACCCATTTTCAGACCAATACGGCACAAAAACCATACCCTTTGGGGCGGTACATACCTTTATGATTTACAAAAAGGATTATACCCCAAGTGGCGGTGACATCATCTGATCTCAAATGCAGGCCGTCGCAACACTTAGATGGATTGCAGTAAATCGCCAACTAGGCAACAAACTAATGCTCCCAAATTTATTAAGCGAAAAACCTGTTGCATATATACACTTTCCTCGCTAAAATCACAAAGCGATCCCTCAAGATGACACTTCTGCAATTCATTTCAATCAAGTTTGCGTTTGAATGCATTCGAAATATCGAACACTCTTACATCCTCAAAAAACACTAGCCAGCTGATTCTCTCTCGCCTCCGCGGCAGAGGCCTCTTTGTATCGTAGGGAGGCTGGAGAAAGAGAAAAAGAAAGCGCGCGGGGGACAATGGGAAGGGGAAGGAGCAGAAGCGAGGTTTTTCCCTCTTCCCATCGTCCCCCGCGCGCTTTCTATTTTTCGATTATTGCTATTTTTATTGGGATACCCAGCGGGAGCCTCTGCGGAGAAGAGAGGTTCATTTTCTCTTGCAAAAGCTTTAAATTTTGTCTTGAAGGCCCAGTTCAGACGCTGAACTTTTCATGAGCCGAACCTTATCCGAATTAAGGCCGACCCAAACAAAAACAACAACAATTTTATTCTTTGTGGGCACAAGGAGTTGAGAATGGCTGCCCCGCAAATAGCTGAAAGCTAGTCGTGCCGGGGCAAGCCAAGTACATGAATAACATATCTACTAAAAACAAAAACAAAACATTTAACTATTACAGTCATACTAAATGGTTTTAAGAGTAGTAGGTTGTAGATAAGGGAAGAATTCGTCATGTAAGACCGGAGCACACAAAACACAGCTTAGTGCACACGTTTCGACCCTCGACCCAAATCATTTAGACCGGCTGAATTGATTGTGACGCCGAACTTAATTCTAGCCGAACAAAATTCAAAAGGCAAAACTCTAGGCTAAACAAAAAGATTTAGGTAAAAGGAGCTGGTGAAAGAAGGCTAAGCAATAGATCGTAAGAATGTATTATTTATTTCCAACTTAATTGTGTTCAGCTGGATGATTCCTAGTTTCGACGATTATCCATTCTAATGCCCGCGCCAGCCTTTTATCGGCACATGATGGCCTTATCACTTTTTGTAAGTCGTAAAGCTTTGTTATTGCTGCGTGATTATTTGTGGTGGTAAAAAGTTCTTGGTAGTAAGTTATGAGGACACATCTACCAAGTTTTCCGGATGCTAAATAAATGGTACGCTATATTTTCGAGGCATACACTCACACTCTGTTTGAGTAATTTTCGTTTTACTGATGCCGAACATGTACGTTATGGCTGACTAGGGTGAATACTAATGGGGGCAAAAACTTCCGCAAACTTTTTATCTGTTTTTACATTAAAAGGCTTTACAAGCCGTAGTCTAACACGGCCAGTTACCTTCGTCATAAACTTTCACCAGTAACAAAACAATTAAACAATTTTTTTTCAGTTTGGGAAGACGCCAATTTGAATGTGCGTTATGCATGATTAAAAAGGAGCCGCTAATTTCTAGATAAGAGTGCACAAGGAACAGGGAAAATTGTCATCTTCTAAGAGGCGTCAAATTGACAACTCTTGGCTACAATATTTTGAATCAAAGATTCAGTTGCTTTCAGCTAAAGTTTTTAATTAATTTCAAACGTATTGGGAGCTCAACCTTTATTAAAAGGACGAGTCACTCCTTTTTTTCATGGTAACAAATTGTTAAACAAGCCGAACCGCCAAAGTAATTATAAGGCAAGAGGTTCTGCGAAGAAAAAAATTCATGAAAATTAAGAACATCCATGGAGATTTTACCTCCACCCCGAGGTTTAACTTAAATGTTGTAGTTATATTTTTGTTTTTTTTTCTTTGGGCACTTGCGCTGTTCATCTGTCGTTGCAAATTCCGTGTTCCTCAAGATGTTAGTAATTAACCTGGCAAGGTGTTACTAACTGCAGCCTTTTAAACAAAAACAGTTTAACTACTATTGCCGCAAAAAAATGCTTATCTATTTATTTTGTTGCTTGATAAATTTTGACTGCCTGTGTCTAAATGACAAATTGAATACTTAGTTAACGAGTGTATTTCCTCACTTCCCGGCAACTGTGTAAAAATGTGCCGTAAGCAATATAACCACGTACAACCGAACGAAAATAAGATGTTGACAAAAGTTATGTTTCTTCGCCTTTGTAAAATGACTATTACACGGTTTAATTGCAACATGTTCGTTAACCTAACCTTCGTTAAGGTTATGCAAAATCTGTCGAAATGCATAAAAAGAACGCATAAAATAAGTAAAGATGCCCTTGGGAGTGTCCTCCTTAACCGAACTCAGGATGCGTTTAATGAACTTCTGTGTCAAAAATTGAACCAAACAAGGAAAAAACCAGCTCCCTTCCAAGTGAGTTAGTAATACACTAAGAATCACCTGACCGGAACAGGGAAGTTGTTTAGGCTTACCAGTAACAACATGAATTCAATACTGATTCTACAAAGTTCGATTAACAAAGTCGCGTCAGACATAATTAGCTCAGCAAGAAAGATTAGCTCCATGTCGGTTTAAAATATAATACAAAAACAACTTCGGAAAACATCTTGCTAACTTAAAATATAAGTATAAGCAAGAAATGACACAAAATGCTTTTATACATTGATATATAAAATGAACGCTTTTAAAATGAATGCTTTTATATATTATGCTTTTAAAATGAATGTTTTTATATATTAAATGCATGAATTTTTAATATTTTTAATATTAATGTATTGTAAATTATTCTATTTCTTAGCTTAGTTTTTATTTGTAAATACCCAATTCAGCCTCTGGCTGCCCGTGTATTAATTGTAATAAACTATCTATCTATCTAAAATAAATAAACGTAATATTTCGGTCATTCATTCAAGATCATTATCAAACGTAAAATACAAGATGGAAAAGAACTGAACTTGTAAAGAGAGCCAGCCGAAAGGTGTGACTGAATATTAACAAATTAGTTGTGACAAGAATGTGGAGGAAAGTATAACAAAAATGCTGAAACAACCCCAAGCTAAAACAACGTGCGCCGAGGCCGAAGGCGGATAACACCCTCCTCGATCTGCATAATTCTTCATATCCTACTCAGCCTCATTCATTAATTGCTAAATAAATTTTAGAGCTTATCTTTCATGCCAA